CATGTCCAGACACAGATCACGCCTCAGACTCGCCCTTTCACACGCTGAGCAGAGGCTGCGTTTGAGACATTTTATTCTCGGAAACACTGCGAAGCTCACCTGAGTCTCTGCTGCCAGCCAGGGGAGGCCCTGAGCCCATTTAGGGACAGCAGAAAATAATGACAGAGGCTCCAGGACACCTCCTCGCGTCCCCTTTGCCCGACTCAGCGGCAACTCACCCAGCAATGCCAGAAGCAGCCTTGCAGGAGTGGAGGCCCAGGCCCCACGTCCGAGAGCAGAAGACGGACCACAGGCGGGTGGCTTCCAGCATCGTGAATGTGCTCCCTCCCCTTCTGGAGGCCAAGGGCTGTGCTCCTTCCAGACGCTTCAGGGAGGATCCTTCCCGCCTCTCCCAGCTTCTGGGGCGCCAGGCACCCCCGGGCTCGTGCCTCTGCCTCCACGAGGCCTCCTGCCTGGCCTCCATGCTGCATTTCCTCTGCCTTCTCTTCGCTGCATTTAGGACCCACTCTAAATCCAGGATGGTCTTGTCAGTGGGTGGCTGGGTCAGGTTCTTGACTCTGCAGCACAAGAGAATTTGAGAGCAAGTTTAACGCAGGAGTAGGCAAAGTAGTTTGTCAGAAAGCGAGAGTGCTGCTCAGCGGGGGAGGCAGCCCCTGGTGCCTTGAGGGGAGTCCTTTTGTGGGAGCTGTGCGTGCATATTCATAAACCACGGTGAGGTCAGGTACGGAAAGGCAGACCTGCGGGGGCCGCATGCTCAGTATCCACATGCTCCAGCACACGCTGCATCACCATTCCATGCAAAACCCTCACCTGGGAGCGTGTCTCTATTAAAGTGAGGGAAAGGTCCCTATAAGCTGAACTTTGAGCCTAGCTGTGTGCATGGGCTCCCGGAGAAACCCCGGCCCCTCCGAGGCAGGAGTGTGTGGCTAAGAGCCTCGTGGGCTTTGGGTAACTGGATGGAGGTTGGGGAAGCTACATCAGGAATAAGGGGTGTTCATTCTCTTTCATAGGCCCACACTGAGCATCAGGAATAAGTGTAGGGCTGAGGGCCCCACAGGGTCATGGGGTGTCCCTTAGGCTGTGCTGAGGCGCAGGATCCGAGAAATGAAGAGACAGGACACAGAAGTACAAGGAAAATGCAGCTGGGCTCAGGGGGCCACGCCATCTATGAGCAAAGTCAGGCGAGGCCCCGAATGTCCAGAAGCGTGAGTATTTATTGTGTATAGGTTAGGGGGCAGGGCAGTGAGTGAAATCATCTTTAAGGATAGTGATAGGGTCGTGAGCAATAAAACATGGGTCCACCCCCATTAGGTCACCTAGGCCAGGAGGTGGACAGCGCGCAGCAAGGGGCCCGTTCCCATGAAGGCAAAGGCCGTGTGCAGTAGGGAGTCCACCCCCATTAGGTCACCGAGCCTTGAAGGTGGGCCGTGCGCAGTGAGGAGGGTGCAGTGTGCAGTACTTCTATCTATGGGAAAACTACTTCTAAGATTTATAGGAGGATGCTTTAAGTCACACAGCAGTGACAGAGCTGTCAGGGTTACCGCCACCTTCCGGCAGCTTCCAGTGGGTTCTATGGGAAGATGCTTTTCAAGCAGCACAGTAGCAAGAGCTGATAAAGTTCACAGTCACCAGGGTGGATTGTCGTTCTGAGGGCACCTTCCACAAGAACGGGAGCAAGGTCCTACAACTCCTTTATCAGGAGTGGCTCTCGCCCCAAGCCTGCCATACAGCGGGGATCTTTACGATACTGAACGCTGCCGCCTGGGCCGTGGATTCTTGCCCTGGTATAACTGTTTTCCCTTAAATCATGCTCTGCACTGTGTCTGCTGTAGGCATTCCTCCGATTATGAACTAAGATATAATTATAGGTATATACGTAGGGAAATATTCTTTAGGCACTCATACTATCAACTACTATATGATTATATATAGAGGATTATATAAAGGGAGACTTCAAGCCCTATTTCTATAAACTAATATATGATTATGTAAAGGATTAT